ATAGATGTATGTTACGAAGGCCTACCATCTGCACACCTGCACGGGTCACCAACAGAACGTCGGATATCCCTGAGAAGGTTCAATTATTTTAGAGCCACCCTCAAAAGCTCTGTTAGTTTTAAATTTTTTTTTTTTATTCTTCTGTTATGAACAACGAGAAGAAGAAGAAGAAAAGATATGAAAACGGAAAGACGCGATGAAAGACGACGTCAACGGAATTATAATACGCAGTGCACGATAACAACCGGTGTTTTGATGAACATTGTGAAATTGAGTGCACCATATGTTTATCGTCTTTATACATTTCGTTTCTGTTTTTTATTTCGAATGTGTAAGAACAACTGATATGTCGTGCGCTCGATATTTTATCAAACAAGCGATGATTGAAGTAAGCGACAGAACGAAGAAAAAAATACCAATTTTAAACATATTATTTTAAATGTGTTAGAAAAAATTAAACCTAGATTTTGGAAATTTAAATTTTAAGACGCAATTGAACTTGATTGCATTAGCGATTGATGCAAAGTAGGGAGATTACAAATTTTATCATTTCAATTCAATATATATATATATAATATCATTAGTTATCATACAGTTTTGAGAATATTTTTCTTTTTGTTAAAGATAATAATGATAAAAGGTAGATATCAATTTTTTTCTTTTTCATTACCTTAAAAGATGATTAGTTACATTTTACTTGGTTTAAATATAGAAGAATTTCAATCTTCATCAAACAATAATCAACAACCAATAAATAGAAGTAAAAATATTTTACAATTAGTATTCGTCAAATAATAAATGATTTTAATTTCAATGTAAATCGTTCTTTTTAGTGTGGTGGTATGGTATGTTACATTTGTTTACGACATAATGATCCTTCGTTTACTTATACATTTCTTAAAACATCCATTTATATTACATGATCTTAACAATTTACAACTATTACTCGATTTTAATAATTTAATCGTTTCAAGTAAAGAGGAAAAAGGATATTTATTATGTTTTTTTTTGAATTCTTTCTTTTTATTTGAGGATTTATCAAATCTCAACAAATGAAAAAATGTTTTGAAAGTAGCACAAATGACAATCAATTCGAAAATTGCAGAAAAGAAGTTCCACAGTTTTAGATCTAAAGAATATATTTGATCATGTCTCGTCTGAACGAATTCATTTGTTTTTCTTTTTAAAGAGAATGATAAAGATTCATCAACAACATCAAATACAACAAACACAGAGAAAGATAAAAAAAAGTTAATCGTACACAATTAAGTACGTTTAGAAATAATTCTACATAAGATTTATCAAAAAATTTGAAATCAACATTCAATGTACACAAGAGATAACCTCTTTTAAATAGTAAATATTTATTGTAAAGAAAATTTCAATTATTACTCTTTTTTATTGAGCGGTTGAGCTAAAATCTTTAGAATGTTGTATGGAGTCTAAAACTTGTCTACGGATAAAACTTTAGATGGAAATCTTATAATTAAAGTTTCTGCAAGGATATTTCCTAGAGAAGGAAAATTTCAATAGAAGAATATCATAGTAACAGAAAAACTGATTTTGCGAATATCGATGATCTTAACGAGAGTAGTTTATTGCGAAAGTGTCAGATCTTTTGATTTGGTCCTATCTTGAAATCCGAATATTAAATCACCTAGTTCACGTGAGTGATCTGTAAGACACACTATTACCAAAATTATATCTTAGGATAGAAACAGCAAAAAAGTTTGAAAAGCAATTTTTCTGTTACCACAACATTCATTTAAAAATATTCTTTTTATTTAGTTTTTAGTAAATCTTTATTAACTAGTAATCGTTTCATCATCGTCTTCTGTAACAAAATCTTAAAATGTTTCTTCACAAGTATCATTAAATAATTCTTTTACTTATATTCATACAATTCATGTTAATTATAGTTGATTAGATGCTGATGAAGTTCTTTGTATCTCTAGTTGTTTCGTTTATTTTTAAATACCATTTTCTTACTGATATAATCAATCAACTTGAAATGATTGAAGAAACTACAGCAGGTTATGATGTATTATCACATGATAAACTTCATTGAAAACAAGTTATTAAAGTACAAGATTTAATAAAACATTGTGATTCATTATTAGCAAGTGGGCATGATCCTGAAACACATGGGTAGGAAGCAAAAAAAACATTTTCGAGATAAATAAATTATCATTAAAATTCTTTATTTAGCTTTAGTAGCATTAGAACCAGTTGCATATGATTTTTGTTCACACATCACTAAAACTTGTTCGATATAATAAAATATTGTCATATTTTAAGAAATTAGTCACTATGCGAATAACTGAAATTCCTAAAAAGTTTTATTAAATGATAGTGAACAAAAGATGTCCCTCTATAAGGTCTCAAATATCATAGAAACTCGAGATGATGTGAGTGTGTAGGTGTAAGTTTTCTCCTCGATTGAACCCACACCTACACTTGAATGAATCAATAATCTGAAAATAATCATCTTGTTGATGTCTAGAACTCAACAAGATTTATTGGCAGTGTTCGAAATGAAGATGATAAATGGAAACATATTTCACTGCAAATTGTCGATGTACTTCTTACTCATTTAAAATCACATGTTACTATTGGTTCATCTAAGGTTATTTTTCTTTTTTAATAATCTTCGATTTTACGTTATTTGTTTTTCAAATAGGATCAATCGCTTTTGGATACTTATTCCACACAATTAACACTATTTGATGTTGTATCATCAGTTGCATTACGATCAATTGATCCATTTGTTGTTGTTTTTATTTATGAAATTTTCCTGTAGTTTAAAATTATTTTTAGAGTGTCAAATTGTCAATCTACAAATCGATGGTTAATCAATATAAATATGATATTTCAATGTCTTGTACAAAGTTTAACTGAAGATGCTATATTAACACGATGGAATGAGATTTTATCATCAATTAATGGAACACGAGATGAAACGTTTAGCCCATAAGTATTCGAAAGGATTTTATTTGTAATTTAAAAACTACTATTCTCGTTTTTCTTTTTAGAACTCTTCTTCGAATTTTAACTAATACTCGACAATTATGTGATCAAATCAATATGACATTAGTTTCTCTTGCATCTGATTATCTTTATGTACTTATGCATATTATGGAGAATAGTAATGAATCAAAATAATAGTATATTCGTAGACATTGATATGATTGTCCAGCATTGAAATAGTCATCTTTGTAATGAAAACTGAAGTGATTGATTTAAAAATTTCGGCTTGAAACTTTAGGAAGAAGAAACTAACTGAACAGATAAAAAATGGTTTCTATCAAAGTCAAAAGAGCTTAAGCTTTCATCATAATCTAACTAGTAATTAGAAAACAGAGAAAGCTGGTGATTGAATTAAATTTATAGGAGAAGAGCTATTAGGCAACTTTTTTTTTTGATAAAATTCTTTCAGTTTATTGAAATGCGAAGTGTATCACGTGCATCTGTTTAATATTCATATCGGCAGCCCTTTTTTGCTCAGTTTTATTAAACACATTGAAATTCGAAACAATTGATTAAAACTACAATAAACGATTGTTTATAAGTTACCAAAAAAAAGAATTTTCATTTATCATGAGACTCAAATTTTCATTCTGAAAACGATAAATCAAGAGATGGTTCTTCATCACAACCCTCTCAACATCCTTCCTACACCCAACTACTCATGATGTTTATCGTTTATTTTAGGGATGCACTAAATTCTACTTATCTACCTTAAGATTGTACACTTTCGGTAAGAAGACTTCCGAATCCAACCAAATATTTGTGTCAATTATAAATTATAAACAATTTTAATCACACTACTTCATATTGTATTACTCTATGTACCAAATCTCGGAAGCGTTTTTCTGAGATTTAACAAATATGGTACTGCAATATCAAGTAGAGCGACTATAAATGTTTCTAACTTACAACTGACACAAAGATTTGATTTTATTTGGGTGCTTTACTACTGAAAATCTACAATCTTTATGTAGAAGCGCAGGATTTGTCGCATCCCGAAAATTGATCGTATCGGTAAATACGCAACTTAATTTATCAATTCATTCTTACGCTTGCATAAGTTTTTCAATTAAATCTAAACAAAAAAAAGTTATATTTTTTTAAAATTTATTCTTACACTTGGATTGTGTGTTGAATCACATCTAAATGAAAAAGCAATTTATTTTTTTCAAAAATTTATACTTGCATTTCAGTTCAGTGATGGCCGATATCTAAATGGAAAAAATAATGCTGTTTTTAATAAATATATACTTACAGTAGGATTATGTGTTGGATCGCATCTAAATTTAAAAAAATAATTTTATACTTTCATAAAAAATCGTAATTCCATTTCATCTAAGTTTTGTACCACATCTAAGTGAAAGAAATCTTTTTATTTTGTTTTTAATTAACACTTACATTTCAGTTC